TGTCCCCCGCTTAGGGAAAAGTAAACCATGCGCAGTTTGGAGTTCGGGGGTTCGGATCCCCTTCACTGAATTTGTAGAATTGTTAAATGTATACAAATGTATACATACAATGTAAGCAAATAAAATATGCCAATATGGATATAAAGGTTTGATGGATTATTCTTTATTATGTGTGTAGAAGATTCTTTTTTATATGGAATATTTATCACACTGTAATGATGATATTATGAGTTGTACAAGTCAGACCTCATAAATTTTTCATTTCACATGCTGAATACTATCGTTTAGTAAAGAAAAAGAAAAGTATTTCGAAAAAAGAATGGATCGTCGGAGATGCGATCCCGGTCCCTCTCACATAAGAAGCGAGAGACATACCACTAGACCACGGCGCCGCTGTAACATGGCGACAATTGTATACAAACATGAAGTGACATACATGTACATATTCACATTCGATATTGTCAAAATTTTACACAATGCATGGTGTCTAATTTAGCCTTTATTAAACAGTTCTAATAGATGTAATAAGAATATAAAGTCCACCGAGAACCTGTTTTATACGTAATAATTGTCCTCATGTCCCTGTGCTAAAAATAGCGACATGTAATACTATAAATACTAACTAGAGCCGAGCTCGTTGCAAAGCAACAAGTAGGTCTTCCGTCCTGTTTGACCGGAAGTAACTTTCATTTGAAAAAAAAGTAACGAAGTCGAAAAATGGTTTAATCCTCCAAATCTATGTTCATTTTTGCAAAATCAAGCTATTTTTGGCAACTTCCGGTTTGACGGGAAGTACTGTCAATGGACGGAAAATTAAGATTTAAGCTTCCAGTGACATACGATATCCAAAAACCTGTCAAGAACAACAAAAATAAGCAATTTCTGACTACTTCCGGTTTGACCGGAAGTGACGTCCCCGGACGTATTTTGACAACCTCATTAGATAAAGCTTGACATTTTGAACAACTTTGCTTATTTGACGTATTATAATTTCTCAATTCTTTTTGAGATATTAAACAAAAACTTTCAAGGGCCCTAGATCCCTAATTTTAGGGGCCAGCCCCTTTTTAATGATATCAAATGAAAGCGCTTGTAATTATGCGCAACTTTTATTCAACATGTGTTAACAAAATACTTTTAGTTTTCAAGATATAAAGGAAAATATCTGTAAATTTTCGCTCTTTTAGGCGTTCTAATTTTTGACCCCTATATAGCGCCATTTTGAATGCAGAAATCGAAAAACAAAAACTGATGTGCACAACTTCAATCCTTCTGTTATCTAAAACAAGTAAAATTTCTGCTCCAGCTTTTGTGGTCTCTGAGCCTTTATCCGGAAACGAAAGCCTATGATTTTTCGTTTAAAGGGGAATAACTCAAAACCGGAAGTGACTTTTTGAAATTTTAGTCATTATTCTGATAGAGTTTATAAACGTCTATAACCTCTGAAAATTTGAGCGAAATCCGTTGAGAAATGAGTGAGATATGAGGCCTCAAAGTTGGCGTCTGGGAAGTAGAAGAAAAAAAAAAGAATAATAATCTTTACCAACAGAATCAGTAGAAGGTCTTCCGTTGGAAACGGAAGACCTTAATAAAACAAACGGAGCGAGGCACTTTGAGAGGGGTGAGAGAGGTCCTAGGGAGTTTTGGTATAACCTAGGGAGTTTTGGTATAATATTACAGAGCAAAAGCCGAAAATTTTCTTGAAATATCGCTCGAAAATGATAGTGTTTCATACAAACAGAATGTACAAATTTACGACCTTGAACTTTGACCTTTTGACCTGAAAATCAATAGGGGTCTTTCTTAGTCCACAGGGAGTTATTATATAAAATATCATTGCAAAAGCTCAAAGGGTTCTCGAGATATCGTGTGGAAACGAAAGTGTTATAACAGACAGAATTTGCTTATTTATGACCTTGACCTTGGACCTTTTGACCTCAAAATCAATAGGGGTCTTCTTTAGTCCATAGGGAGTTGCTATGCTACATTTCATTGCAAAAGCTCAAAGGGTTCTTGAGATATGTAATAGTTACCGTATGTTTTTCTATTGGTTTGCTATAGATACCCGATGACATTTTGAAACAGTCACGAGGGGCAACGCCCCGAGTGGGTGTTTCAAAATGTCATCGGGTATCTATAGCGAACCAATAGAATAACATGACGGTAACTCACTTGTACCATAGCTATAACATGTATACGTGGATTCTAAAATTAGATCTAGAGTTACTCTGCTTAATCAAGCGTGCAAAACATTGACTAAGAAATGTAAAGATAAACAGTGTCAAAATATTAATGTGATTAAAATTATATCCCTATAGTAATATGTTGTCAATAAATACACTGCAGCTGCACTGTATTGAAATAAAAAAATAAAAGAAATAAAAGATTATAGCCATTGATTTTTTTATAAATGAAATGCTATGAGTAAATTTAGGGGACTATACTTTTATGCACGTTTGACCAAACAAGATATACCGGTACCTCACGAAGAGACACGTGCTCGAATGGTCAGTCTGAGTATCAGCATGGAGGAAGACGGCATGGATTTTGCGCTTTCTCAAGCCCTAGATATTATTGAGGCCGAAGAATCCCTAAACGAATTGTCGCTGACCCAAACAGTTGAATTGTATAAAGTCGAACCTGCTGATTTTGGTGAGTTTTCTATGCTGCAAGAATTTGATACGATAATCACTGACGATATTCAAGAAAACAAACGTTTTGCATCTCCCGTCGAAGAGGAGGAAATAGACAACATTTAAAAGTCCTATGAAAGCAAAAACACTCGGAAAAACACAAACTGGAGTGTTAGTACATTTCAGGAATGGAGAAAAAACAGAATGCAAATTACTGGAGCGTTCATGCCTGAATTGACTCTAACTAATGAAACCGAAATGAATGACATAATGACAAGGTTTGTCCTTGAGGCGAGGCGTAAAGATGGTGCGCAGTACCCACCAAGATCTCTGTATCAGTTGTGCGTTGGCGTCCTGAGGTATCTTCGAGAAAATGGCAACAGTTTAAACTTTTTGGATGAAAAAAATCTCAATTTCCAAGGATTTCGACGTGCGCTGAGTGCGAAAATGTCTGAGCTTACTGCTCAGGGAGTTGGAGTCGTAAAACGACAAGCTGAACTCCTGTCCGAAAAAGACGAAAAAATTCTTTGGGAAAAAAACATTTTAGGGAATTCGTCTTCAAAAGCATTACTAAATTCAGTCTTTTTTTTACAATTGCAAGCTCTTTGGTTTAAGAGGTGTCGACGAACATAGGAACCTATCGATTGATCAGTTTGAGCTTCACGATGATGGAAATGAAAGACCATACATCATTTTCAAAGGGCGAATCAGTAAAACTTACAAAGGTAAGATTATAATTTCTGCAAAAATATTTAACAAAAGGGTCTATCAGAATTATACATTTTTGTTACGTGTAAATTAAGAGATATGTGCATCGTTTATTTAAAAAAACGTTTCAAACAGGAATAGCACTAAGTGTCTTTTTTCTGGAAATGGGGGGGGGGGGGGATTCTAGAATGAATATGTTATACTAGTATTTCGGCAGACCATATTAATGTTTACTTGATGATTATATTTCAGGTGGTCTGAACCAGCGGAATATTTCGCCAAAAATCATCAAGCATGTGTTCTGTGATGATGAGTTGTACAACGTGTATAAGGAGTATATTTGCCTCATCCTTAGTCTTGACAGTGATCCGACCGCACCCTTCTATAGACGAGTTAGATGGCAGGAAATTTAGCAAGCAGTGCATCGGCGTCAACAGACTGTCAACCATGATGAAATCCATGTGTCAAGAAGGCGGGTTGGAGGGTAATTATACCAATCACTCCGGGAAGCGTACGTGTGCGACCGCGTTATATCAGGCGGGGATAGAGGAACAAGAAATTATGGCCCGAACGGGCCATCGTTCGATAGAATCCGTTCGACAGTATAAAAGAGCATCAGATGAAATGGTAATGGAGGTATCGAACGTCTTGGAGCCAAAACGCATCAAGATAAAATCAGAGGAAGCAACTTCTACTACTTCTACATCTGCCTCCCCAGATCCGCCTCCCTCCATGGATACAGACGCTCCTGGTCCAATTTTCACCCACTGTACCTTTAATTTCGGCGGATTTTAACTGGGGTATTACTTCGAACCAGGTGTATATTCATTAATGAGTTCAGTGAAAATGTAAAGCAAAGTTACTGGGAGACATTTTTTGTTAGTTTGAGAGAAAAACTCTCTTTTTTGTAATAAACCGGTTAATTTCAGAGAGAGAGAGAGAGAGAGAGAGAGAGAGAGAGAGAGAGAGAGAGAGAGAGAGAGAGAGAGAATTTCTGTACTTGTTTTATGTGAATTAGTATCTCATTAAAGATATTTTATTTTGAGAGAACAGATTTGTGTGCAATGGTGTGTGTGTTTATTTTTGTAATTTTGTTTTGAGTTGTATTCGATAAATACAATAAACGTATTCATTTTAAAAATGTTCTTTACTAGACCGCAAGAAGGCGGAGTTAAAAATCAGTGGGATATATATTGATCACAGAAAAGTGTTGGTTTGCTCAAAATACACCATAGTTTCGAACAAAGAAAATGTGGTGTATAGATGTTCAGCTATGGTACAACGTGTGGAAACGAAAGCGTTAGACAGACAGAAAGACGGACGGACGGACGGACAAACCCAAATTAATATCCCCCACTTTTCAAGCGGGGGACAAAAAATTTGGTTCGATTCTCGCATGGAGCGTTACTTTTTTTTTTTTTAGTACAAACAATAAATTCTCTGATCAAATTAATTCTATGTAGTGACTTATTTCAAAGTAGATTAATTCTGGTTCTGTTGCAACGAGAGCAAAAGTAATTCTTCAGATCTATTGATACTTTAATATACACATGGACTTCATATTGCATTCAACTATACTCTATCAACATCAGTGTTTTATATGAAGCGTTAGTGACTAACTTATACATGCAGTAATTATTCAGATATGCGGGTGTAAATATTAAATTTGCCAATGCACTTATAACTAAAATAACATTTTCCAATGTTTGTAACATTTGAAAGTCTGTCTAGCTGTGGTCAGCCGACCAAATCGTATACATTCAAACCATAAATGTTTCGCACGCATTATTCCTGCAGATTGCACTCCCATCTTCTTTTCTGCGTCTCTTAAACTTAACACGTTGTATTGGAAAATTGATTTGTTGAATTTAGTTTGCATCATTTAAAAACTCGAATTCCTCAAGAGTTTTGATAGGCTAACACCCTCTTGTGTAAACTTTTTTGTTGATTAATGCAACTAATGTGTCTGAGTGCCTGAACTTGTAAATATCGCATAGTCAAAAATTGTTATGTACAAATACTAAAAACTATCACAATACGCCATTCTAATGCATTGCTTTTTTTTTGTTTTTTGTTTTTTTATACATTTCCTTTATATTTTATTCTCCATGAACTGCAAAATACTCGACCAAAATAACTTTTGACCATTTCTGTTTTGAGTCCATTCGGTATGTCTGATTGATTCAAGAAGGATTTTCAGAGAACTAGTGATGTGTTCCGATCGAATGTCCTCTAGAAGCATGATAAATAACTTGTCACCCATTCCGTCCGCTAATATATGGTTAGCAATTGCTGCTTCGTATTTACACCACTGATCATCCAAAAAGTTGTTGGATAGAAGAAGTATAAACTTTCTACTTGACTCAATGCTCTGAAGCATGTCGTCTACATATATTCCGCCAGGAATGATATCCCTTTCGTGCAAACACAGCTTATATTTGTGTTTCCTTTCAATATTCTGAACGAGCTCAGACATGATCCATTTTCTGTCCTGTGTATTGTACGCAACAAAAGCATCATAAAGGAATTCTTCTTGTGGCAGCCTTTCTCGTTTTGATAACCGCTGATTTTTGAAAATGTGAATATAATATTTTATATCCCATCGAAGTTTCCTTATGATAACAGCAGAAAAGATTATCAGGCAGAGGAACCCAGAGATAGTGAAGGACATTATTAGATACTGGTTTGGCTTATGACAGACATTGGTATCAAAGTCCAGAATAAAATGACTTTTCCATTCTAGAGGGGTTTTGCAGGTACATGTATATGCATGTTGCCTATCATTTGTTCTATTACGGTTTCTCTTGAACCAGTACTTATACCATTCTAAATGACATCCGCAATCAAAAGGATTATTGGAGAGATCTATAGTGATGTCCATTGACTCCCAAATAAATGCCGGGAAAGAAGACTGCTTCACGGATATCAAATGATTGTTTCTAAAAGAAACACTTTTTATGCTGCGAAAATTTGCAAAATCAATAGCATTTAGATTTTGTATTTCATTTACACTCAAATTTAAATGTTCTAGCTTTGATAATGTTGACAGCCGTGAAATATTCTTTATGTTACAATTTATTGCAGAGAAACTTGTAAGGTTCTTTAAATGTGAGAACGTGTCTTTAATGCTTACGGAGGAAAGGTCTAATTTGGCAAGATGCAGTACTTGCAACATTGGGTTATATGATAGAATTCTTTTAAAGTCAAAAAAGAGCAGATATAACAACTCATCATTTCCAAAATGAATCTCTCGTACCGTTTTTGATGACAGTGCAGAATCGCGCATTTCTAAAATATTGAGAAGATTGTTTAGGTGTAAAATTTCTAAACGTTTAAATGTCGTGAATGTGTGCGACCAGATTGTTTTAATCATATTGCATGAGATATCTAGTCTGATGAGATTTGGAAAAAAGGGACCGTACTCCCGGAGGTCAATTATAGACGAAATACGATTCTTTCTTAAGAGTAGAACTTTTAATTTAGGGAAAAAGTCTCTACATGTTTCATCATCAAAAGGGTTTGGAAATGTTGTCAGATGATTATCAGATAAATCGAGGATCTCTAAATTTGACAAATTACATGGGGCACATGAACCTACCATGATATTAACACTTAAATCTAATTTTGTTACGTTTTCTATCTTCAAGAAATTCTGTAAGTTGCAAGTCAGTATATCGTTTCGTTTCATGACAATTTCTTTAAGGTTTCTAAACCAGAAGTTTTCAAGGTATTGTAGATTTGAAATAGGATTAGCGGATATATTTAAAACTTGAATGCTAGATGTGTTCAGATACTGTGTTCCATTAAATATCTCAAAATATCTTAATCTATTGTGAGACAAGTCTAAATATTCTAGACTGCTGAGCGGCATGAATGCTAAGTCAGATATATTCCAAATTTCACAATAATCCATGGAAAGTTTCCTAAGAGTAATGTGAACTAAAGGACTGAAAAAGTCATCTCCAAGCGTATGCAGATCGTTTCCAGTAAAAATAAGATTATCAATTGTTGGTGGAAACCCATAAGGAATGGCTGTCAGGTTTCTATGGGAACAGTCCGCAGTGTACTTGTCCAAACAAAAGCATACTGTGTTTTGACAATACGATTTTTGGAGAGAATTTGTTGATCCAAGTAGCAAGTAAAAAGCAATAAATGTCTGGTAGGCTTCCATATGGACCTACAACAAAAACAAAAGATCTAAAAAATTGACATTACGATAGTTTTAAACGTTGGAAAATGCCTACCGTTTACAAATACCTTAATCAATACAAAGAATATTCAATTTGCATTCAGATCACAATTTCTGTTGTTTAACATAAATTTTTTAAAGATGTTCCTTGAAGTATTTTACTTTCTTCGTTTCATTTAAGCTGATAAAATTTGAAGATAATAAATAGTAAGCATGCTCTCAAGTCATTAAACCATTCCAAATTGTAAACAAAGCCAACACAAAACTCGTAAAGCAGAGGTGGAATCAGTTGCCCTTTCTTAAATTTGCTATTGCTTCAATTTCTCAGAATATTTACTAACGATGAACTTAATTTGAAAAAAAACAAGTTTCACAATTCACAATATGTTTTAATCTTCTAGAGATAATCGCACATGGATTTTTTCTCTTCGTAATTTAAGAGTTTTTCATAAAGATTCATATATAGGAAATATGGAAATAATGAACAATATTCAAGCTCAATTGCAAGTCCCTTTAAACAGTACAAATGAGAAGCAAAGTTTGTACATTTGTTTTAGGTTGTTATGTTTTACTTTTTCCATGTATATATTTTTTATCCCCCGCTTTCGTAAAAGCGAAGGGACATTAAATTTCTTTCGTCTGTTCGTCTGTAACTCTGTCCGTCCATCACAAAAAAACTTCAACCTTGGTCAAATCTTCTGTATGAGAAGAGGTAGGGAATTGATATTACACATCAATATTACCTGTGACAAAACCTCCCTACATTCACTGGGATTTTTGACCCCATGACCTTGACCTTGAACTTTGGCCTACTTTTAAAAAAATCAAACATTACTTTGAATTGGCCGTAACTTTTAATTAGAAGAGATAGGGCCTTTATATTATACATGTATATTACCTATGACAAGACTTTTCTAATTACACTATGATTTTGACCACTTTACCTCGAAGTTTGACTGACTTTTCCAATACTTTAACCTTTGTAAAATCTTTTGAATGAGAAGAGGTAGGGCTTTCATATTACACATGTATGTTACCTATGACAGGACCTTTCTAATTACACTATGATTTTTGTCCTCATATAACCTTGAAGTTTGACTTACTTTAAAAAAAATTAAACATTAGTTTGAATTGGCTATAACTTTTGAATGAGAAGAGATATGATTTTCATATTATACATGTGTATTATCGGTGACAAGACCTTTCTACATAATGACCTCGTGACCTTAACCTTGAAGTGTGACCTACTTTTCCAAAACCCGAATCTTGGACATGACTTCTGAATGAGAAGAGATATCACTTTCATATTAAACCTGTGTATTTCTAAATATACTATAATTTTTGATCTTGTACCCTTGAACTTGAAGTTTGACCTACCTTTTAAAAATTTTTTAAAAACTTTTGATTGAGAGTAGATAGGGCTTTCATATTTTATATGTACATACCTGTGACAAGATATTTAAGAGCATGCTATGAGTTCTGACCCCTTGACAATGGCCTTTACGACTGATCTAATTTTCAAAAAAAAAATCAACTTTAGGGATAACTTATAAATTGCATATGATAGGGTCTTCATATTTGACACAATATGTCAAAAAATGATATATCTCCCACAAAGACACCGAACCCGGGGGACCATAATTCTTTGAATATGTTTGTTATATTAAGTAGTAACTTACAGTAAACAATAGTTGATTTTTGTTCAGAAAAATACGAACCTCTAAAACATCGGAGGTGAGACCAGGTGCCGTCATGTGTTCCTTGTTATACTCGGGAAAACGAAAAATCCGTAATCAATGCAGTGTGTAAATGTTGACCTATCAGTAAAAATTAGTATGAAAAACTTACATCAACATTTGCCATTAACAATAGATTGTATTTGCTGACGTTGTATCGACCATAGAACTTGCAAAAAGATGAATTTAAACGAATCTGTTCATTTTCTTGTTTCATCAGCTTGTTTTTCAATAGCTTGTATTGTTTTTAGAAATTTTTCGTATTAAATCAACTGAAGGACATATACACATATGCCCCATATGCTGCTGATTTGAATATAGATTTCTACAATAGTAAGGAAAGTTGACGATTGAAGTTAAAATAATCATATTTTCCATAGAACTTTCTTGTTAGGTTGCAATTAACATCTTTTTTAGTTAAAGATCTCAAGCAATTTTATAGTTAGTCATGTTGCCTTCTTGTGATTATCAACAGAATTAAGAGGATTTTACTGAAACGTATCCTAGTATTTAAATAAAATACAGAGAACACTGAGCTTTACAACCAGACAAACTACTTCAATTCATTTTTCCTTTAAAAAACTCATAATAATCTGAGTACCTTGCAACTTGAAATTTCAAAGAAGATAAGAAAAACTCATATTAAAGGAGAAAAATTAATATAAGAGAATGATTACCTATGTTGCCTCCTTGTTATATAATGTAAGTGTTAGTACGGGAAAAAATTTCAATATTTAAATCATAATCTACTTACACATAACTTTTAAAAGGGAAAAAAACACGGAAAACATTGTCTGAATCATGCATGTTAGAAATGGATGATTTCCTCCAATTTTAAAATAGATGTATGCCTAATAAAATACGGAACATGGAATAACCTTACGTTATCACTTAAAAGTATCACATCGATATATAAATTGCATTTAATTAAATTATTACTTAAAGACAGCTTTAAAAAGGATGTACTATACACTCTTCTGAATGAACACTTGATTTTTGACATGCAAGTCTATCATAATGACAATGATTGAGGCGCGTCTGTTAAATTAAACTTTGTGAAGCTGAACACATTAATTTCTTAATAAAGTCTTTATTTAGGACTAAACGATAATCATGAGATGACTTATTAAGAGTTTGATTATATGAACAGTTGATTCCATTGACCTTATATCGCAACTTATTGAGAAAGCAAAATAAAATATACGTACTTAATATATTGTCAAATCGATCGGTTCAATTACGCAATTACATATTGAATTTCACACTAACACGATAATGTAATACGTCTTTATTATGAAAGGCAAATATACCCATCAAAAAATTGCATTCGTTGGCTTTTCAAATGCACTTGCAATCTCGTGCATTTGAACAGCTAACTTGTGCCAATATTCACCAATATAAGTTATCATAATATTCACCAAAAGAGTCCATATATGTTTTATTACATATTCAGGTTTGAATAAATAACTAAAGACAATAAAGGCTACATGACGATTCTATTTCCATTCACGAACTTCTGTCCAAGAAAAATAAAAATGAATGACCAGATTACAACTAATACCTTTCATGTTTTCCTTTTGCTGTGTCTTAGAAGTCGACATCTTGCGGTGAACTTGCTTAACAATTTTCTTCCTCAGATTGAGGGCTGACTCTACTCTGGCCCCTGAAGCCCTGTGGTCCGTTTTACAAAAGAACTTTAACAACTAAGACAAAAGTTTAATTCTGTTAATAACTTTCTTATTTATATTAACTTAAAAATAGTTTTAATATCTTTAAAAGGTATGAAGAAAGATATTTTTATTATTGCAATTTAAAAAAAATCATTTATATTGCATAATTTTACAATCATTGAAGTCTTTGGTCTTAGTCGTAAGTTCTTTTGTAAAACGTGTCCCTTGTTTTCAACGTTCTTTGAGGTATTGATTGTGACGTCAAAATGCTGTTGCACTGATGAATCCATAAAACAATATAAAATAGGAGCAGAGCAAACACTGACCTCTAAAACATGAGGTAGGATCAGGTGCCATGAGGAAGTGGCAATCCCCCTGCTGACAGGTCACACTCGCCGTGTGCTTCCAATCATGATCGGGAAATAACGAAAACATCCGTTGTCAATTCAATGTTTAAATAATGGACTAACAATTAGTATGAAAAACGTCAGTCAGCATTTGACTTAATGATAAATTGTATTTGCTGACAAAGTCATTGTATCGACCATAGAACTTACGAAATGATGACTTTAAACGAGACTGCTGCTGTTTTTCTTACTTCAACTTATTGGTCAATAATTTGATCATACGTAGAGCATGCTTCTAGCGTATCGAATCAACTGAGATATATAAACGCCGTATGCAGGTGATGAGAGTCTATTGCTGAATAAGTAAGGGAAGTTGACGATAGAAAAGTTAAAGTAATCACGTTTATCAAAGAGCTTGGTTGTTAGATTACCATTAACGTCTTACGTCGAATAGGTAGTGTTAATAACAGTTTGCGATTGTATAGGTTATAAAGGGACAATAAATAGACATATAATAACATGCATTTGCATCAATTTTCTAAAGATCAAAATTTTCATTACCATATGCATCTTTAATTTGTGTAGAAATATTCTCTATATTACTTTCTTTTTTATTTGATCTAGCAAGCGAGTATGTCTTTTGCCTTAAGCAGTTTTAAGCACTCTTTTTATAGCGAAAGTTTAACTGTTCAAAGTCTTCAGCGCTGGACTTCCAATTTTAGAATTCGACTGATATGTCTTAAAACAGTGGATGTTCTTTCTCGATAAGCAAAAAAAAAAAAAAAAAAAAACATATCAACCTTATTTAAACTTTAATGTCATTCATAACAATAAACTTTGTTTATACGTTTACTCATTTCGTAAAGTACTTTTAAGAGCAATGAATCGAAACGTCATCATTAGTGAAATCTTTTCAGGGAAGCAATGACTCTCACACATCCCATTTGCAATAGAGATCAGTTTATAAGCGCAGATGTGATTTTATATGCAATGTTGCTGTGACGAGAACTGTGCTTACAAGTTATTTCATTGAATTTTGTCTCATCCGATTTTTGATTTATTTACACATTCTACAAAAAATGGTTCGTATATTGTTCTCTAAACATTTTATTTTCTCTTTTAAATCTCTGAAATCTAACAAACTATTCAAAAAGCTTAGAGGTACAAGATTTTTTTCTTATTCTGAACTGATAAGCTTAAAATTATTATAAAAAATGTATTTTTATTTGTTTTTTTAG